GGAGGAGATGATTAGCCGGGGAGGAGAGATCCGACTGAAGAGCAGTGAGCTTCTCTTGAGTACGAGCGCATCCTATGACAGTGTGACCTCTCTTCGCCAGCTCGAGAGCTAGGGCTCTTCCCAGACCTTTGCTCACTCCCGTTATCAGAACGGTCCTCGCCGCCGCGACAGAGTTCGCAGCCCCACTGAAAGGCGTCGCAATCGTCATCGTGTAGCCCAGTGGCCGATTTAACTTCTCTTTCTTCGGTGCGAAATGTGCCGCGAAGAATAAAATATACAACACTCCTTTTTTCAGGCATAGTTAATTAATTCATTTGTTTACCTTAATTATTAATAAAATACAAATACTTATTATCACTTGGGAAGTTTATACTAATTCACTGTTTTAACATTAAAAAAAAAAAACTATTCGATTTTCACCAAAAACTCTTTTAACTTTTTAAGTGATAAAATTAAAATATCTACAGATGAGAAATGATGAGGCCAACAAGTCACAAGAACATCTCTTAGTTTGGTTTCGCACTGAGATCACACTGGTCTCCAACGCTCAATCTCTTCTTCGACTTCCTCTGATTCCTCAGCAAATTTACTAGTCTGGTCGTCTGAGTCTTGTGCTCGTCTTCTTTTACTAGGGCGATGAGGTCTCTCTCTCTGTGTTTCTCTGTCTGAACTCTCCTCACTTGATAAACCACTTAGTCGTTTTTCTATCGTGCTTCGATCAGAGTCAGGATCTTGGGACTTGTATCTGTGCCTCTGTTTGCTTTTGCCCCTATCTTCTTTATCTGCCCGACATTCTCTGGGACTTATCTCTACACTTCTCTTCCTGTCATTGTCTCGAATCTCTGATCCTTTATGCCAACGATGTCTACGTTCAGTTGAATCTTCCTCGTGCGAATATCTTGAGCTGCTTCTTTCATGCCGACGTTTCGATCTTTCTCTCTGTGATTTATCACAAACTGTATGAACCCTATCATGTTCATGATTCTCCTCTTGATCAGCTGATGACCCATCCCTTCTATATTTTCGTGAACTCCTGTGGGTTTTGCTGTCCTTTTCATCGTCCATCTGTTCTTGAGCTTCTGCATCTGTCCTTCTGGCTTTTCGTCTGTGACCCGTTTCTCTCCTACCAGAGTCATCTCCATCAGGAGAATCATCATCAGAATACCTCCCATGGCCTCGTTTCCCTATCACTCTATGTCCAGGAGAGTGTTCAGACCATCTGCTATCACGATGCAGTGTGTCCTTAGAGTACCGTCGCTCATTATACACCTCCCTCTCTAAACTACTGTCTCTGCTAGGACTGCTATCTCCATCATGAAAGTTCTCGGCATGCCTACTTAGTTTGTCGCCACGAGTACTGTCCCGAGTTTCACCATGATTGTTACGGCTCCTATAGGAACGCTTAGAACCAACGTTCGCATGATCCCTCGATATAGATCTTCTAGAAAGTTGCCTGACATGGAAACAAAGCACATGAGCATGACGCTCCCTAACCAAATTAAGCAGGATATACACTGATCTGTTAGTTAACAATGACGGTCCTCAAAAGTCAGAACTCCAACTATAAAGCTACCTACCTGTGTGAATCTGTTGGTAGATCTGATCTCGAATCGTTTAATGACCCAAACGATTCATCCCCCATGTGCTTTTCATCTGAATAACCAAATAAAGCGGTCATTTTGTGAATCCAGAATCTTGGAGGTGGTTTGTCATGGTCAGCCCATTCGTAGTCTCCACCAGGATTTCGGAAACAATGGATAAAATTGCAAGCAGAACCACGAGAACAAGTCTGTAAAATAGATGAGAATCATGAAACAGAGATAAGCAAGAAGTAGGAATCTCAGATTAAGAACCAGATGAAGAGTCATACTTTAAGCCTGGACTTCATGTACTCCCCACATATGGCAACTTTCCATCTTGAGATGTTGACAAACTCGCAGTTCACCTGAGAGGATGTGCAATTATCATGGATATAAATGTCAGTTAGCTGAAAGTACCAGAAATCAAGCCTCAGCGTACACATCAGCAGAGTATCAAAATTCTTCCGAACTTCTTTTCTACATAATACGAAGACTATAATTAACCAGTAGATATGAACAAAAATTGCCACAGAACGCAAAGGTGAAACTTCTGACATAACGTCATACACAAAGGCTAAGTTAACTGAAACCTAGAAACAAACAGTGAGGAGGAAAGTAGAATGTGTTCTACCAAGGTATAACAAGCTAGTGCCAATATGACAGGAAGTCACTAGACCAATTCGTTAATCACATTTTTCAATGAAAGGAAGTGGGAAAGGTCTCCAGACTAACAGTGTACCTGTTTACCAGCAAAGTATCGACCATTAATGGACTGGTAAGCAAGAATAGCTGATTCTAATGATCTGTAGTGTACGTATACATTGCCCTTCAAGTGGAATGAGCCATTTCTACACACCTGAAATGGATATAAATTTTGTTTTTGAAAAAAAAAAAGAGTATTAGAAAAGGTTGGAAGACAACACATATCTACCAACAAGTTTTATTCTCAGACACAGGGTTATATTTAGTCATCTGATGATGAGCAAAGATGCCGGGAACCACTAATTTTCAAAATGGCTTGCCTAGTGTGGCTTGCAGGTTCAAGAACTTACATTTACATTTAGTATAAAATGAATCTATGGCTGATAATGGAAAAAAAATAAGAGGGGTAAGAGGAAAAGGCAAAGAGGGAGCAGAATAGAACCAACAAACCTTGAAATTAATAAGTTCTCCATACTTTTGAAACTCTGTATGAACATCTTCATAAAATTCTTCATAACAATGTTCAGCCTCCTCATCTGTATACTGCAACGAAGCCAGGAAAAAAGAAAGAGAGTAAACTTAAAGTAAGTGACTAAAAGCAAGGAAACCAGGTGAATATAATGCATGTGATGTCCACTACTTTTATAATCAAGCATACCAGGATAGCTACAGCCTTACTAAATTATAACTGCATTAGTTTCTGTTCAGATAATACTAGCTGAAAGCAGCCAGCACGTATGAAGAACACTATTCTGTTCTTGATTCAGGAAAAATCAAGCAATTCCGAGGTATTAAGTAGCAAATCGGATGAATCATTTGTTACATACCACTCACTCCCACGAGCAAATTAGAAAACACTTAAAGAACAAGATATGAAACAGTGACAAACAACCTACAGTCTCAGGTACTGCTATCAAGGCAAGAGAGGGCACAGATAGAAGGCCACAATTTCTGTGATCGAGATAACAATCACATAATAACTAATCTATCAATCAGGTAGGATACAAAGAAGTGAAGCGCAACACCAACCCCGCCCAGGTTATAATCATGCACCTCCACTGAAGGGAAACCAACAATGTCTGATGTAAGTTAAAGAAGAGGTAACAAGGATTAAAAAAAAAAAAAAATAGCATAATTCTGTAGATTCAAGAGCACACAGCAAAACAAAACTGAAAAGTGGCAAAGGAACTGTGGTAATGTAAATTTAGATAATGAAAGCCGAGAGTAATAGAGAAGAACTAATATTATCAGGATACAAGCATCACAAGTTGACAGCGGTTACAGACCTCAAGCCCCTCATCCTGTTCCCAAGCAATACCAGGACCATTATACATGTTCTTCATAAGTAGTGTGCACGATTTACTAGGGTAGAAATGAACTCTGCTACAACGCGGGCCAAATCGACAAGCTCCAGTTTTCAAATGGAAAGGACAATGAGCTTTATCCTGGCGATTGAGAGAATAACAACAAAACAAAGTTACTAAAAGAACATAAGAATGATAGCTAAAACTAATGCCATCTCAATCAAGGCATACAAGAACCACCTGCTCAGTTCCAAAGTTGGGTACTTCTAGTGCAACATTCTCCAAAATCTGTTGCGCAGAACTAACATTCTGATAGCTGGCACAAGCTTCAGTTCCCGGAGGTAGAGGATTTGATGTAGGCCTATCAGAAATCTGCAAAACAAACTCCACATTGGAACTCTAGAAAAAAATCAAAACACTGAAGATGGCATGTTCACCTAGATGATGGTTTACCTCGTTTCCATCCACCTGAACGACGGGCTTCTTTGGAACCCTCACTTTGTTCTTTCTGAGAATGATCTCATTTCCCTGGAATATAATTTCTGGAGGCCCTTCTTCGATATATTCATATTCACCATCCTCATCCTCGCCACACTCATCGTTCCCACTAGCCTGCCAAAAGAAGCAAAAGGGGATGCAATTTAAACTTAAGATCTCCTACATGAGTTCAGCAGCAATCAAAGTGGGCTCGAGATAGCGTCAATAAGATATGAGAACCCTAACAAATCCTAGTTGATTCTCAAGACTTTTGTATTCCCTCAAAGTTCCTCAGTTAACAGCCACGCGATGATGAATTTAACAAAAAAAAAAAAAAAAAAAGTAATTTAACAAAAAAAAGTAAGCAATACCTCAAGCTTTCGCAACTCGTCTAGATCCTTCCAACGCCTCTCTTCCTCTTCTCGCTTCGCTTCTTCTTCCTCTTCTTTCTTCCTCTTAATCTCCATAGCCTCTCTCCAAGCTCTCTCACTCTCCTCGAACTCCTTCAACTCCTTCTCTCTCATCCGCGCCTCCTCTTCCTCAATCGCCTTCAGCCTCTCCTGTTCCGCCGGATCGTTTAACTTAGCCTCGGCCTCCTCTCTCTCCTTCTCCGCTATCTCTTTCCTCACCTGCTTCCTCTTCAATTTCTTCATGGTTTTCCGCTTCTCCTTACGACTCATCTCCGCCGCTTTCTGTTTACTCTCTTCAAAACCTTCCCTATCTCCCGCCGCTTCTTCGTGTCCTTCTCCTTCTTCCTTTTCGTTTTTCTGCTCCATTTTTTTTCCCGGCAGCACTAGTCTCTCTTTGTTCACGGTGGTGGAAATTTTTAATTTAGAGGTGCAAAATCGGTTAGCTTGAACCGAAACTGTATTGCAAAAAAAACACAAAATTGGATCAAGCTATACCAAACCGGAAAACCCTAGTTGGTTCACCTATTGACCTCGGAGACTCCAGATTGCTGGTGGTCGGAGCTTTTGAAATTAGAGAACTTTCACCGTCATTTGGGGTAAAGCCGATTGAAAATCTCGCCAGTGTCACACTTTTGATTAGTGACTTTTTCATAAAATTCGAATCTTTCTTCATCTTATAGAGCGAGGATTTCACCGGATGCGAGATACGAACACCCTAATCACACTTAATCCATTGTGAGTAACAAAATGCTTAAATTACTCATCTTTTTGTCTTTGGGTTTCATATACTTTTTGAATTTGCTAACTAATGTCAGCTTTTGTTTTATTGGTTGTGCTTTGTAGATTGCTTAAACTTTTATCCTAATTGCATGCATTGTTCTTCCTTCTCGGATTTCAGTTTTTCTCTGAAGGACGCACTTTATCTTCTCCAACGTTTCTTCAACTCTTCAAACCAGATTAAGCAGATTCACACTGTCCTCTTTACCACCAACGCATTGGTCGCTTCGAGATGGAAGACAAAACTCGTCTACAACACTCTCATTCGATCTTATCTCACTACAGGACAATACAAGACCTCTCTTGCTCTCTTCACCCACATGCTTGCAAGCCAAGTCCGACCAATCAATCTCACTTTCCCTTCTCTGATCAAAGCAGCTTGTTCATCTTTCTCTGTTTCTTGTGGGGTTGCCTTACATGGCCAGACTCTTAAACGCGGTGTTCTATGGGACCCATTTATTCAGACTTCATTTGTTCGATTCTATGGTGAAGTATGCGATTTGAATAGCTCGAGGAAGATGTTTGATGATATTGTAGACCCTTGTGTTGTAGCTTGTAACAGTTGGCTTGACGCTTGCGGAAGAAACGGAGAGATGGATTTTGCTTTCGAATTATTTCAGAGGATGCCTGTAACTGATGTGGTTTCTTGGACTACTGTTATCAATGGGTTTAGTAAGAACGGGTTGCACGCCAAAGCTGTAATGCTTTTCGGTGAGATGATACAGAATCAGCGTTCGGTAATAACACCGAATGAGGCTACTTTCGTTAGTGTTCTTTCTTCGTGTGCTAATTTGGATCGAGGAGGTGTTCACTTGGGGAAGCAAATTCATGGATATGTTATGACGAGAGAGATCATCCTCACTACTTCTTTGGGTACTGCTTTGCTTGATATGTATGGAAAAGCCGGTGACTTGGAGATGGCATTGACCATTTTCCATCAAATTTGTGATAAAAAAGTTTGCGCTTGGAATGCAATAATATCAGCTCTTTCCTCCAATGGTAGACCTAAGAAAGCACTACAGATGTTTGAGATGATGAAATCAACTAACGTGCATCCAAATGGGATTACTCTACTTGCAGTACTCACGGCCTGTGCTCGATCTAAACTTGTGGACTTAGGTATCCAGTTGTTCTCTTCCATATGTAGCGAGTACAAAATCATTCCAACGTCAGAGCATTACGGTTGCATTGTTGATCTCATAGGCAGAGCTGGACTATTGGTTGACGCAGTTAATTTCATAAGAAGTTTGCCATTCGAGCCTGATGCTTCTGTTCTCGGAGCTCTTTTGGGCGCTTGCAAGATTCATGAAAATGCTGAATTAGGAAATAAAGTAGGTAAACAGCTTATCGGACTGCAACCTCAACACTGTGGCCAGTATGTGGCATTGTCGACGTTAAATGCTTTGGATAGCAATTGGTCAGAAGCAGAACAGGTGAGGAAAGCCATGACAGAAGCTGGAATTCGGAAAATACCTGCTTACAGTGTGCTTTCTTAAGGCTTAAAAAGTAAGAAGTCCACCCATATGAGCTTCCTATAAAATTCGTTGGTAAAGAAGATTAAGAACTTATTTGAAAACTCATGTCAGCACATCAGCTTCCACCAAGAACTCTCTTAGCCTTGGCGGGAACAAGATCTCAAAGTAGGCTTTGATGTCTCCTCTTTTCAAAGGTTCATTTACTGTTTGAGATCACAATCTCCTGACTTGGTTTTACGATACCCAGAACCGGGACTGTTAGGTTCCTCCTGTCCAGAGTTGTGTCGCTAATGGTTAAAGCATCTATAAGAGAGACTTCCTTCTTGAAAATCAGATGAGGTAAAAATAACTACATTTACTTTTTTTTCATAGATGTTGCACGAAAGATAAACAATTTTTTTCAAAATATTCAATAGGTGAAATAGCCTGATTTTCCGGAGGCAGCCAAATCTGAGTTGGTCCTTGCAAAGGAGGGCCTATCTCCTTCACTGAGATTGCTTTTTCTTACTCCGGAGGCCAGATCTCCAACACGTTTTTTCTTGATATAATAAACCGGTATATCTCCGACACGATTCATCTTCTTAAACCAATGACCGATGGTCTCAACTCCAAGATAGGAAAAGAGTACCGTCAATGATCCACCGGCAACAGAGACAATGACAGGAAACAACCATCGTGTTCCGTGTGATTGTGGTATGGTCACCCAAGATGCTGCAACATAAGCCGTCGCCATGAACCCTACAGAAACCCACATCATCCTGTGTGTGGCCACCAATAATCTTTTTAAGGGTTTTCTCTTGTAAGGTATGATGCTAACGAGAAGAATAACGATGCACAACGACGTGAACAGTGCTATGTTGTTGCATATTGCAAAGACTTTGAACGCTGCTGTATGGCCTACAGTCGATTTCCCTCTCCATGGCTCATCTTGGTAGACGCCGCCGGGAGGGTTTATCCCACCGGCATAAGAAACTGAAGCAATCAGGACTGCCACAATCGCGATCGTATTTCTTGCATTTTGTAAGGCTTCTATATGCATCTCATTTTCCATGCTCTTACGACCTCTTTCTGCCTCCCCTTTCTTGCTTCTCTTTATCTCTGCTATCTCTGATGTTTTTGTTTCGATTAGCTCCAGCAACCGTATTACCTCATTCATTTCAGAGCTTTTGCAGCTCTCTAAAGTGTTAATTTGTTCCTGGGATCGTTTATGGAATGAATCGGACTTGGAGTGGCCATCATGCACTTCAGTGTTCTTAGATTCCAGCTCGGTATCGAACCTCAGCCAGCTTGATAACAACTCAAAGTCTTCCGCTTCTCGAGGGAGAAGGTGAGAAGCTGTGAAACCCATCTTGTTCTTGTAGCTGATGTCCACTATCTTTTGACCAACAATGTACCGTATCAGCTGCCATTTATACAGTAGGGATATGTCAGAGGATATGCCACAAAATCCAAGAAACTCTGAAGCAAAAATTGAATCATATCCCTGCTGACATGCTCATGAACCATGGTTCATTTGTTTCTCATTATATGAGATTACTTACCATCCTACAGTCCATATGGGGTTTCTAACAGAGTATATCGCAAGTCAAATTATGTAAGTAAAAAGTGCTTTGGGTTTATTAAGGGGAAAACGACAAAGAAAAGTAGGAAAAACTACTAACCGGAGCACAGCAAGCCATGGAGGCAGCAATATGTAAAACAGTGTTGCCATTTTCATCTGTTTGCTGCAAAAGAACTTGGCTGTTAATGCCCACCCTCTCCGCCATAAAAACGAAGGCATCTATGTTTTTGTTCCGTGCGGCGAGATGAAAGACTGTCTCCTTTGATGGCGTGAGAAAGCCAAAAGACAACGGAGCCTTTTCCAGGAACTCCTCCAGGATTACAACCGAGCCTCTGAGAACAGCCAGATGCAGAGGTGATAAACCGTTGGTGTTGAGAGCTTCTTCTAGTCTTTGATCGAGGCCTAACAATATACTTGTCAGTTCGAAATCTCCTCTATCACAGGCATGATGCAGAAGCGTTGATAGCGACCCACCTTCAACCACCCAAGCTTCTTCCCTAGCTAGGTCTGGGAATCTCTCTAGTATAATTCCGGCAATACCTGACAATAATCCAAACACACTAATGAGCCACTGGATTTATGCAAAGATAATGGAAGAAATTTGAGCCAGCAAAGACACTTGAAACTTACAAGTGGATCCACTTGATAGGGCAAATTTGAGTTCATCAAGGCCGATTAATTGAGTCTTTTCCGCAACGAGTCTGGCAGCCTCCATGGAAATGCTGCGGCAAGCTAGCTGGAGGGGTGTTTGGTTGGTATTGTTGCGTGCGGAACAAGCTTCTAATCCAAACTCTAACATGGTCATAACTATGCTTACGTCTCCAAGGAGAGCAGCGAGATGCAACGGTGTGTTTCCGTATCTGTTTCGGGAATAGAGGAGGGAAGGTCGGAGCTCAATAATCTTTGAGACGAGTTCTCCATGTCCATGCCTGGCAGCCGTGTGCAACACAGTGTTGCCCTGTTGTTCATCGCTTCTCTCCTCCAGCCACGAATCTCTCTCTGCCACCAGACCCAGAAAAGCTGGAACGTCGTTTTGCAGAACCGCTTGGAAGATCGGCTGCATCTTTTCTCAAGTAAATTCTTACCTTTGAGAGGGAGATCCCAAGTCTTTGTTATAATAACTAGCGACTGTAGACCACAAAGAGTTTGGAAATTTACGATAAGAAAACGAAAACAAAAGAAGAGTTGACTCCGCCATTTACTTCAATTTTTCATTTAACACTGGTGGTTGTAAGGTATCTTCTATTGAATTTTCAATTTTCTTGATAATAGCCATACACTAAAACGCGGTTAAGCCATGGCACTTGTTCCTGCTTCCTACGTTCGTGAGCAATTTTCTTTAGCTTTCCCACAAGATAACAAGTGAAGACTGTGACAGGACTAAATCCAACACTAATATTTATGTGAACAAAACAAATGTAATTTGTAACAAGATACTTTCTAGGAAATTCTTGACGAACTTGTTTCCAATCTTTCCCTTTTTCTTCGAAATTGTTCCCAACCTTTCCCTATTTTCTGAATCCTAAATATATGCAAATATATATATTTTCGTACTTTTGAAGGTTCTATCTCTCCGCTTTTCAGAAAAATTTACTTTGTCTTTGTTCCTCTTTCACCATCAGGCATTAACACACATCAGAGTCAAATAGGCCAAGTTCTGACTTCAACAACCATCAGTTCTGCCCGGATATCCACAGCCTCATCCGATTCGGGTTTTTGTTTTATTTCATAATAACACATAAAAGTTTACAAAAAGAAAAAGAAAAGGAAAAGAAAAACTCAAATGTATGTACACTGAATTGGCTAGCAGCTTTCTGTAGAATCCGTTGTTAAAGAAGATCAAGTGCTTACTTGGACACTAAATGTAAACTCATCAGCTTCCACCAAGGACTCTCTTGAGGTCATTCTTCTGTTCTGACGTTAGCCTTGACGGGAACAAGATCTCGAAACTGACTCTGAGGTCTCCTCTTTTCAAAGGGTCTTTAGTAGGCATTCCTTCATTTGGGATCACAATCTCCTGACCCGGTTTTACAATATCGAGAACGGGGATTGTTAGGTTCCTCCCGTCCAGAGTCGTTACGCTAACGGTGAGACCAGTTAAAGCATCTATAAGAGAGACTTTCTTCTCCACAATCAGATCGTTACCGTCTCTTTTGAATACCGAATGCGGTTTCTCGTCTACCACGAATATGAGATCTGCGGGAGTGACACCAGGTTCTTGGTTGCCTTTCTCCGGGAAAGTGATCTTTGTGCCTCTCTTCCAACCTGGTTTGATGTCTATCTTCAAGATCTCTTGGACTGTCTTTGGCTTTCTGTAATAAATAATATATCATCAGAAAGACAAAATCAAAGCTCATATTTGGTCCACCAAAAGATCAGTCACAGAGAAGATCAGTTCTGCAGAACCTAGCAGCTACAAAATCTTACTGGGGAAAAAGATCATCAAACAATGTGAATGTAGCTTATCAGGAAGATCATGAGACAATGTAAGAAAACATCATCAACTGGATCACACGAGAAAAAGTAATAGCAAAATCCAATCATTCACTTTACTGTAATCAGTGACTAACGAGATCGGTCAAATGCATTCATGAGATCAGGGAATAAGAGGAAACTGACCCAAAATCATCAGGAACAACGCGAGAAATTCGCATCTTCTTCTTGGCACCTTTGTAGAGCTCCTCCAGTGTGCAAGCCAATTTACTCTCAATAGCCGGCGCCTTCCTATTCGCCGGCGGAGGCGTCTTTTTGTTCGTCGGCGGCGTCTTTCTATTAGCCTGGCTCCCTGCTTCTGCACTTCTAAATCTCCGGCCAACACCATCGGCGCCATCTCCACGTGTTCTTCCGCTACTCCCTCCGCCAAAAGCATCACCAGATTCGCCGAAAAACTCCGCGAAGATATCTTCAGCATCACGCGGATAGTACCGAAACTCAGAGTGACTGGAGGAGTAGCTCCGCTGCTGCTGCGCCGCCGTCTCCGCCGCAGTAGGTAAATCGGTGGATTTAAGACCTTCTTCTCCGTACTGATCGTAGATCTGACGTCTCTGAGGATCGCTCAAGACGTCGTAAGCTTCAGAGATCTGCTTGAACTTAGCTTCAGCTTCTTTCTTGCTGGTAGGGTTTTTGTCAGGGTGCCATTTCATAGCCATTCTACGGTAAGACTTCTTGAGATCATCTTCGTTAGCGTTTCGATTCACCTTCAGCACATTGTAGTAATCGACCCCCATTGATCCCCTCCCCCCCAAACAACAACAAAAAAAAAGTCAAAACGACAAAATCGAAATCGAAATTGCGTAGAGAAAACTTGGGATCTTCGTCAGAGATTGCAGACGAAGAAGAAGAAGAATCGGATTCGAGATTTGGTATTTTGGGGAGTGAAATCTGAAATGGGAAGAGAAGGCGTGAGATGAAAAAGGAAACCAAGAGTGGAGTGCGTGTAAGGTAGTAGAAGAACATGACAATGGAGAATGACAAAATATTCTTAATGGAGCCACGTGGCATTTATTGCCACTTATCTTTAACTTCATCTTTTATTTGGTGGTGAATGTGGTAAAAAAAGAAATAGAAAGTGATCACTTTCAATTTCTTTTTTTTCTATTAGACAAAAATTCTCTTGATAGCTTAAATGGAATTTTACATACAGTTTGTATTCTTTTTAAACTAATTAAACGTAAAGCAACCATTTTTAGTTTCCTACTTAAGTTAAACGAGAAAGAATTATTTCTTTATTTAGCCGACAAACAAAAAATAAAACAGATACAATAATTAAACCGACCATACCACTTAATCTAGAGTATTAATTGTGTATAAAAACTAAGTTTGGTTAGAAGTTAGAACATTGACCAAGTGGTTTTGATGATTCACAGAAAAAAAAAAAAACTCAAATGTTATGGCGAAGTACAGCTTCAGAAATATCCTTACCATATGACAATCCATGTTTTATCTGTTTAGGAGACTCATGTAAAATATGATCACAAGTAATTTAGCTGAGCTTAATCTCAAATTTTATTTATCATTTCAGTACAACATAACTTATCTTAGTAAACCCATTACATTCTTCCCCACTAACATATTTGACTTGCATCCTAGTAAACCAGTTTCATATGACTACAGTCAATTTGTTCAATCTCAGTCCCCAAATACACATATTTAAGAGGATCCACATCCTTGACTTCAGGCTTGCGGCTTAGGAAAGAGCTTCCTTGCGAATTCAGCGAGCTTGGTAATCTCTGGCATAATAGGTTTCACAGAGGGATCATTACAGAACTGATCTGCCCATTTGGACAGAGAAGGAGTCTTGATCTCATCAAGAAATTTATGACCCGCATCCAACTCTACGACTCTCAGCCAACCCAAGAAGCTCCCAAAGGCAATGTCGAGGTAACCGATATGGTCAGTACCGTTGAAGAAGGGTTTTCCTTTGCTGCAATCCACGAATGCTTTCTCAAGAAGCTCAGTCCTTTCTTCGACTTCAGCTATGGCTACTTTCTTATCTGCTTCTCCTCGAGCTGTTAGGATACTTCTCAGAGAGATAAACCACTTTTATACATATCCAATTAAGACAACATACAAGATTTTCAGATTAGCTAATACCACCATGTATACATATCTCAGTATAGTCTTTGTAAATCAAAGTTAAAACAGCAAGTGAAGAAGAAGAAACTATGAACCTTGTCGTCTATGTAGGCAGCCCAGAAACGAGCGATGGCCTTGTCGTATGGATGGGACGGGAGAATGGACGGCTGAGATGATGAGTTCCAAGCCTCGTCGATGTACTGAACGATGATGTTGGACTCGCAAACCGGTTTGTCAGCGTGAATCAGCACCGGCATCTTCTTGTGAACCGGGTTAGATTTGAGGAGCAATTCGCTCTTTGAACCGAACGTCTCCTGGAGGAATTCGTAGCTAATAGATTTGAGGTGGAGAGCGATCATCGCCCTCATGACGTAAACACTCGCCCATGAGCCGATCAGCTTCACTTCATCGGCCGCCATATTTTACCGGAGATTATGAATGAACCGTGAAGCGGGGAGAGAGAGAGAGTGAGAGGCTAAAATTTGATGGTGAGAAAGCTAAAGTGGTTCGGTTTGAAGCAGAGGGTCTAGGTAATGGATAATGAAAAACCACGAACGTATTATTGGGCTTATTTAAAAACTTTTTATAAACACTACTCTTGTAATAGGCCCCTTAATGGGCTTTCGTTTTTATGCAAAGTCAGGCAGGCATAAAACATGTCCGTCCATTCTCTCGCTCTCCCTCGGTGATTTGATTTTTGGTTAGGTGAGGCTGTAACAGCGGTTTTTTGGGACATCAATATGTGTCCCATCTCCCGGGGATCTGATGCTCGTTGGGTCCGTCCGTCTATTAAACCTTTTATGGGGGATACTTGGCGTACTAATAGGCCTCCATCCTGAGTGGGCTCTATTCCAATGGAATCTCTCTCACTAACCTCCTCTGTTAATATCAGCCTCCTGGTTTTCCCCAGTTTGCTTCCTTGGTTTTACTTTCCAAGGCTTTGAAAATATAACCAAGCATCTCCAAACTAGTGGACATAAACAGAAGGTAATCAAGCATCCTAGCCAAACCGGACGGACTTATTGTATCAATATATTTTGTCGTTGCCTCTTACCACGAGTAGTTTCCCTTTCTCATTTCTAGGTTTGTTTGCCTAATTTGACCTCGTGTGCATTTTTTTTCAAGAAGCAGAGGTTGAACCGTTTGCCTAGCGTGCTCCCTACGTACCATAGTGACGAATCAACCAAAGGCAGGTTTTAACAGCTGTGATAACGTTAGGATTTTTAATGTTTAGAATTCTGGGGTTTTCTTAATGACCTAGCGAAGAGAGACTCGGAGGACTCAAGTTCAAAAACATAAAGCAATTTATAAAACAGTACCACTCTTAAATTATTCTTACAAGATCTCAACCCACAAATAAAAAACCTAGTTCACCAGCCAACTTAGGCCTGCGGCTTGGCAAAGATCTTCTTTGCGAATTCAGCTAGCTTTGCGGTCTCGGGCATGACAGGTTTTACTGCGGGATCGTTGCAGAAATGATCAGCCCATTTACACAAAGAAGGTGTCTTGGCCTCATCAAGAAGTTTATAGCTAGCTGCTAACTCGGTGACTCTCAACCAAGCCAAGAAGCTCCCGAGGGAAATGTCAAGGTAACCGATGTGGTCACCGTTGAAGAACGGTTTTCCTTTGCTGCAGTCGATGAAGGCCTTCTCCAGAAGCGCGTTCCCTTCCTCAAATTCTGCTATCACAGCTTTCTTCTCTTCTTCTCCTTCAGCTTTTAGGAAATTTCTTAGAGCGACGAACCACTTCATTAGTGTCGAACATTGAAAATAAAAGATTAGCTTAACAATGTCAGGACAATGTAATACATAACAAAACATCTATTTTAACTATAGTAATTACTAATTAGTTTATTGAGTTCTTGAAACTGTGTGTTTCCGTTTATATTTGCAGTTGTGTGTTTTCATATTCAAAATTAAAATTAGACTAATTAATGCTAACTTTTGAGTAAATGTAATATATATCTTGCTTTGCAAACTCTGCACAACAAACCCTAGAGATCAAATTAGACAAAATAATGATAAGCAAGTGAAAGACACCTTTTCGTCGATGTAAGCAGCCCAGAACCGAGCCATTGCCCGGTCGTAAGGAAGAGAAGGGAGAAGGGAAGGTCCAGATGAGCTCCAAGTCTCATCGATATACTCAACGATGATGTTGGATTCACAGACTGGCTTATCAGCGTGAAGCAGAACAGGGATCTTCTTGTGGACCGGGTTTGACTTAAGAAGCAACTCGCTCTTAGACCCAAAGGTCTCTTGGAGGAACTCGTAGGGGACAGACTTGAGGTTTAGAGCAACCCTTGGTCTCATCACGAAGGGACTCGCCCATGCACCGATCAGCTTCACTTCGCCGCTTGCCATTTTATCCGAAACAGAGAGCTTTGGTGCGTGTGAATGTGTGAGGAAAGAAAGTAAAATGGGGTGTGAAACGTTGATGCGCTTACCTATGTTAGATCGGTGTGGCATATATGGAAGGAAAGAGGGGTAGGTAAATTTGATGGCGGTGATAGATGATAGCCAAAGAAGACCAATTAGAGCTTGACGCGTGTATTAAACGGGTGGGAAAGCTGAAATGTTGGTCCATCACTTTATTGTGGTCGACGAGACGGCACTTGTATGTTTGTGGCTAACAATTGAAACCATTCAGCTCCGGCAATTGCTACTATTAATCATCTTCACTTGTTTATGATTTGTATTTCATGTTTAAGACATTTGTATTATCTCAAGTTAATACCTATGTTTCCAACGATTCACGATGTGATGTTTTTTTTTTTTTTTTTGCCAGGTTAAGTGATATTACATGAAAGAAGTGAAACTATTAAATGATGATTACATCTCAGGGAAGAAAAACACAAAACATGTCATGCATCACAGGACCACACGATATGTAAACATTGAATTGTAGTCACGGGAAAAAAAAAAACCAAAATAATGGTCGTCCCAATTTGTTTTCTTACGCTTTAAACTCATTGTTTCCACTCAAATGATCTGATGGAATATAAACATATTCTGTTACAATCTCTAGTTATTCTCGTCTATATATATATTGTTTCGTATATCCCATATAATGTGGAACTGCTTGTAACCTCTTTGGCTATTTAAAGTCATGTACATCAATGTATTATTCTATGGAAAATCATTCTGATAACATTATCTGAAATGCATGCATTAAGAATTAAAATAGTTAACGGCTATCGTCTAATGTTGTGTATGTAATCAAATGGTACATGCATACAGATGGAACGAAAAACATAACTAGTGGTAGGTAGATCTACCTAGGTCCCTCCAAATTAAAAAGAGATTAATACATTTTATTTATGAGGGAGAGACGTCGATTCCTTTAAATGTACGGTGGATCACATGTCGACCCCTAGCTGAGGAAGACTACAGGCCCAAAAGGTAACTGAAACTTCTTCGGAAGAAGAAAAAACCAATTAAGAACATGTAAATAATATTAATATTATACGATTCTTGACGAAATGGGAACTCTTCATGAGAAAGATCATATATACAAGTTGTGTAACTCAGCCAAGTTGTTGATTCTTTTAAATGGTTCTCTGGTTTTGAAATTATGGGTTTTGGGATACCTAGTGCTGTAAAGTTTCTAGTGGATGTGTAATTCCTTGTTATTTTTTTATTTTTTTTCCTTTCATTCCGATCATTTATATATCTCATCCTTATAATTCACATCCACAGAAACTTTAATATATATTTTTTCCAAACAAGTATGACATCACATGATTAAACTATGTTTAACTCTTATTTACATTTTATGATAGTGTATTATTTTTAGTTATTCTTTTTCTTGTTTTTTTACATCTTTTTAGTTATTCTATTTTTAGTTTTTTACAAACCTGTTCATTTATACTAGTTTTTAAGTTCTATAAATTTAAATTTTCCTAATAAACATTAAAATAGTGCCTTTGTAAGACGCATTATATATCTCTCACGAGTTAATTATAAATACAAATACATTACGCATACAATGAATTAAAAAAAAAAAACTAAAGTTGAGAATTTTAGTAGCAACTTTAGTTAGCCTTTAGGTTTCTTTACGATATTCTCTTGAATCAATTCCCTTATCCTGCCCCGTTTCCTTGGTTGGGTGGGGGACTTTAGTGTGAGTGGCCACTTAACACTAATGATGTTCTCTTTGCAATATTATGCCTTATTTCCTGGTGAGTTCGGGACACCTAAAGGCACATTTTGTCTAAATGATATACTTTCTTAAACATATTTTTCTATGCCCATACTTTCCAATTTCTTAATAGATTCGTATCACCCCTTTCTCAAAGAGCCAACTGAACCATCAATTTCACAAACTTCATTGAATCATCAATGTCACGAACTTTTTTCGATCATTATTCAAGTTATACAAGCCAGTGAGAAATATCTATATCCTCGTAAAATGATTTTCATAGTATTCAATTTTTAATTTTTTTTTTAAAGAGAGCTTTAAGAAAAAAAGAAAAGAGAGATTATTGAGACATTTGCATTCTCCAAATTTTGAATGTCGTGATAAATAAAATTTATGTGTTTGCACATATATAAAAAGAAAAATTGTTTCTGCAAGTCATGATCTGATGTTGTAATCCGTCATATGGTGTATACATAGACCCCAACCAAAAGAATCTGCATATCATTAAAGAACAAATTAATTAAACAATAACCAAAATAATCTAAGATTTAATTTAACAAAAAAAAAAACAAAAAAAAGCTAGGGAACTATATTTATATGTACAATTTAATATTCTTATATTGGGGAAACATTTCAATATATGTACATAGATATGAAACTTAGTATTCCTCAATCCTCATTGCATCTATATTACATTGATCACACACTCAAATCATCTTGTGCTTAACTATCACTCTTGCTCTAACAAGCAAATGAGTTTCTTACTCTTTTTCTTCTTCCTCCTCCTTTCTAATTCTTCTCATGTCTCCTCACAAGCCTGCCAGAAAACATGCGGGCAAATACCCATCAAGTACCCGCTCGGAACCGGGGCAGGTTGCGGTGACCCACGTTTCACACGTTACATCACGTGCGACCCGGACCAACAGACGTTGACGCTCACCACTCACACGGGCTGCTACCCTATCACTTCCGTCGACTATGCCAAGCAAGAGATCTACGTCACCGACCCTTCCATGTCCACGTGTGCATGTACCCGACCCAGCCACGGTTTCGGCTTGGATTGGGACGCTCCGTTTTCTTTCCACGACGACACCGTTTTCACGCTCCTTGACTGCTCTCCAGACGAATCCCCTGTTTTCACTCCGTTAAGTAACGGCACCGGGCCTGTCTCCCTCTGTGACCGTCAAAGCTCCTCCATTTGCACCTTCTTGTACTCCAATTGCAGGTAACCCCCAAATTATAAATTCAAATTCAACCGAACTAATTAGTTCTATCTAAAGCCGGTTTGTTACTTAACCCTGGTGGTTTGGCAGGGCCATAAGCCTTATAAACCTTCAAGTATCGACGTGTTGCGTCTACGTGCCTCTAGACCTCGGACCATCGTTCGAAATGGATCTGAAGAAACTCCGATGCTCGTCTTACTCCGGTTTCTACAATCTTGGTCCGGGACAAGAATCTCACCCGGAGAACTGGAACTACGGAATCGCTCTCAAGTACAAGTTCAACGTTTTCGATGAGTACCCTGGCGTCTGTGGTGGCTGCGAGCGTAGTAACGGTGCTTGTGGCTTCAACACTCAGACAAGCTCCTTCGTTTGCAACTGTCCCGGTGGGATCAATACTACGTCGGACTGCTTCTTTCTTTATAACTCTGCTTCTACTTTTGTTCCTTGGCTCTCAAGTAAGCTCCACTTTCTCACTTGTTTACTCTCTATAGTCAAATTATGAACTCTGCTATAACATCTATGATCTTCTTAATTGAATTTTCAGTGTACATTTAATCATGTATTTAAGAGTATATTGATTGGTCTTATATAAAAGTGTGTTTTTATTGTTGTTGGTAAAGCAGGAGAATGGGTAGTGTACCCTTTATCATGGGTCGTTGTTTGGATGGTGATGAGTCTGCGTTAAAGGTTTTCGAGTTAGTCAATTCAATCGGAGAGCGAGCATCAAGGTCCAAGGATGGAGTGGTTCGAAGAGAAAGCTTAATAGATCGAATATTAGCTTCTTCTTTCTAAAACTAGCTTTGTGATATCATATAGAGCATAAGATTCTCTATATATTGCTTCTCATATTATTCAAGTCACCATTTTATCTTACATATTTGCTTTTTTCTACACTTTCCAACTCATAAGGAATCACCTTACTATATTAATGTAATTCCCAACACTTGCAAATTAAGAACTAGCTTGTTCATATTTTGAAGTTTAAGTAAATTAAAATAATTTACAACTGAATAGCATAAAATAAGGAGGATCCATCTAATAATAAGTTTGACCAAAGATTGTATAAGGAAACTGAGGCCCACAGGCCCAGTAATGGCAAGGACGTGGGGAAACAGTGTAATGCAGTTCGTTACTATGATCCCACCAAGTCCTCCTCGTCGTCCTCCTGCATCCTGGACACAAATTTGCCGCCTTCTCATTAGGCATTCACAACCTCTGCTCTGATTATCCTTTCCAACATTCGATTAATCTCATTTGGGTAGTGGATCTGGAGAATTTTGGAAAATGGAAGCGAGAGCAAGAGGATCAACGTCGTCTAGCATCGGCAATTCCGCTGAACTCGAAGGGAATCTGACACTCAGTGATCGTCTTAAGGTTTTCAAAGGCTCTACTTTCGATCCCGAAGCTTATGTCACCTCTAAATGCCAGCGTATGAACGAAAAGGTCTTTTCTTTTTTTTCTCATCATCTCCCTTTTTCAAACTACCAAAATCATTGCTTTCATAAGTTTGTACTATGTATGTTATCATCATCATAAGGTTCCTTTCATTCATTGTCCATCACGAAAAGATAAAGTAAGGTCGTAATTGGTTCAAGACGATGGTGATGATGTACATTGTGTGATTTTTTCTTTATTGTATCAGGATTGATCTCTTAATTTGTTCCTACATTGTCATGTCTGTAGCCTAGCTTAGCTCTCCAAGTGTTTTTCAAAATGGTTGAATCATAATTGGATACTATTCTATAATATTGGTGGGTGTTTTTTGATTTACAGGAGACAAGGCATTTGTCTTCTTACCTCGTTGAATTAAAGAAAGCTTCTGCTGAAGAGATGCGTAAGAGCGTCTATGCAAACTACGCTGCTTTTATTAAGTGTGTCTTGTCTTCTTATCATTTTTTTGTGGATTAGTTGCGGTTTTCTTGTAATTTGGCTTCTTCATGTTCTTGATCATGTGCAGGACATCTAAGGAGATTTCAGCTCTTGAAGGACAGCTTCTTTCTATGAGAAACCTTCTCTCTGCTCAAGCAGCTCTGGTTCACGGCTTAGCTGATGGCGTTCACATTAGTTCCTTATGTGCTGATGACGCTGACGACTTGAGAGATGAAGATCTATATGACATGGAGAACAAACAGCTCTCGAAAATAGAGACTTGGGTTGTGGAGTTTTTTGATAGACTTGAAGTCCTCTTAGCTGAGAAGAGAGTTGATGAGTCCATGGCTGCTTTAGAAGAAGGACGTCGTGTGGCCATAGAAGCACATGAGAAACGGACGCTCAGCCCCAACACTCTTCTTTCTCTCAACAATGGCATCAAAGAAAAGAGACAGGAGTTGGCTGACCAACTGGCAGAAGCTATCAGCCAGCCTTCTACAAGAGCAGGCGAGCTTAGATCAGCCGTCTTGGCTCTCAAGAAACTCGGTGATGGTTCTCGAGCCCACACATTGCTTCTTAGGTCTTACGAGCGCAGGCTACAAGCCAACATTCAAAGCCTAAGAGCTTCTAACACTTCCTACGGGGTAGCATTTGCTGCTGCCCTCTCTCAGCTTTTTTTCTCTACCATTGCTCAAGCTGCAAGCGACTCTCAAGCTGTTGTTGGAGAGGATCCGGCTTATTCATCAGAGCTTGTGACATGGGCAGTTAAACAAGCAGAGTCGTTTGCTCTTTTACTGAAAAGACATACTTTGGCTTCATCCGCTGCTGCAGGAAGCTTAAGGGTAACCGCAGAGTGCATCCAACTCTGCGCATCCCACTGCTCTTCATTGGAGTCTCGCGGTTTAGCTCTTTCCCCTGTTTTGTTGAAACACTTCAGGCCGGGCGTGGAACAAGCACTGACCGGAAATCTCAAGAGAATTGAACAAAGCAGTGCGGCTTTAGCTGCTTCGGATGATTGGTCACTCTCTTATACACCAACAGGATCACGTGCCTCATCAGCTACCCCCATTGCACCGCATCTCAAGCTTTCTATAAGCGCTCAAAGATTCAACTCCATGGTTCAGGTAATCAACAGAGACGATCATATTTGCTGCTTCATTTTATCTTTCTTCTTGCTATAAGTTTGATGTTTCTGTGGATTTAGGAATTTTTGGAAGATGCTGGACCGCTAGACGAAGCATTACAGTTAGACGGGATTGCACTAGATGGTGTTTTGCAAGTGTTTAACGCATATGTTGATCTCTTGATCAACGCATTACCCGGTTCAGCTGAGAACGAAGAGAATCCAGTTCATAGAATAGTTAAAGTAGCTGAAACTGAGTCCCAACAAACAGCTTTGCTAGTCAATGCACTTCTTTTAGCAGACGAGCTAATCCCACGTTCTGCTTCAAAGATTCTGCCACAAGGTACGAGCCAATCCACTCCAAGAAGAGGTTCCTCAGATAGACAGAACCGACCAGAGCAGAGAGAATGGAAGAAGAAGCTTCAAAGATCAGTGGATCGACTAAGAGATAGCTTCTGCAGACAACATGCACTTGAACTCATCTTCACTGAAGAAGGAGAAGTCCGTCTCAGCTCTGAGATTTATATCGTCATGGACGAAACCACTGAAGAGCCTGAATGGTTTCCTTCACCAATTTTCCAGGTAAAGAAAACATTAAACTTTTAATGTGAAAGCCAAAAAAGCTTCATTCATGAATGCTCTGCTTTTTTCAGGAACTATTTGCGAAATTGACGAGAATAGCATCGATTGTGAGCGATATGTTTGTTGGAAGAGAGAGATTCGCGACGATATTGCTGATGAGACTTACAGAGACAGTGATTCTTTGGATCTCTGATGATCAAAGTTTCTGGGAAGAGATGGAGACAGGAGATAAACCATTGGGTCCACTTGGTCTTCAACAGTTTTATCTAGACATGGAGTTTGTGCTGATCTTTGCCTCACAAGGAAGGTACTTGTCGAGAAACCTTCACCAAGTGATCAAGAACATTATAGCTCGAGCCATCGAAGCAGTTTCAGCCACTGGACTAGACCCTTACAGGTATGCATTTACACGTCATTATAGCATAAACATGTATAAGCATAATGGTTTGATGATAACGATTATTGATGATGGATGATGAAACAGCACGTTGCCAGAGGAAGAGTGGTTTGCGGAAGTAGCTCAGATAGCGATAAAGATGTTGATGGGAAAAGGCAACTTCGGTGGCCACACAGAGAGGGACGTCACTAGCCCCTCTGTTTCCTCTGCTAAATCTTACACGAGTAATTGATTTACTAATCTAATAAGTCAATAATTAACTTCGTTTGACGTAGAATTATTCATTCTTTCGGACAATTATCATTCTTATTCTACTTTTATTAACATAAATGGGAGACAGTACATATAGTTTCAGTTTTGTATCAGAGATTCAAAAACTAGTCTCTTATTATTTTTATAAATAACAAATCTTCTGTCATATTGTATGATACATGTCTATATATATATATAGATAGATACAGATAGAAGGATGGATATAAAAGAAAAAAACATGAGCTAATTTAAGCAACCTTTTTCTGTAAAACTTTAAAATTCAGAGTTGAATCGAAGTTATCCCAAAAAAATCCGACTCTATCTCCTACCTTGAGGTGCCTATCAAAAAGGACAAGAACCCAACCAAGGTTCAGGAAGTATCCCCTCGCATCTTGATGAACACTAACGTCATATGTTTTCTCCGTATCCCAGTCATAAAGTTTCACTTCCACGGGGTTTTTAGCCGCAAGCTTGTTGCTCCATCTCTCGATTATTTCGTCTCGTGTCTCTTTTGTTGGTAATCGAATCATATTATGTGTATCTCTCAGACACAGCGTCTTTGTTATGACCCATGGATCGTATTGAGCAAGTCCCAGTTCAGTCTCGATTTTTACAGGCATTTTGAAGATTTCTTGTTTTGCTTTCGTTTTCGTAAATGGCTCATGGACTCACAGATTATTTATAATGTTCATTAGCTGAGAGGTATGTGGTTTTGTTGTAAAGTTTATGGTAGCATGCGGTCATTAGTTCAAAGGAATATTTATTGATGTTTGCTCGTATTAATTAATAAGGTTTGGATTGCATGCTTATATTTATTAGAAGAAATTGATCGTCTTCTTATCACACCCTTTTTTTCTTTTGGGTTCAAAATCAACACCTTTTATGTTTAGCAACGTACGACAAAAATTCGTAGCTTCTTTTTCTGTTCACAGATGTTCAAGTACTTGGCTCACAAGAAACAGAGCTAGGGCTGTTCTTGTACAACCAAAGTCTCAACTCTTAAAAGAAAACAAAAATCGTTCAAATATAGTAACAATTACCATAACACAAACCGAACCAAACAAAAAGAAATATTAATAAGGAAACAAGAAAAAACTGTAAGAACAACAAATAGGTATAGAAGCACACAACAAATGGAGAAGGGCACTATTTGATACTGCACATTTCCAACATTCCCTACACATTACAGAGCCATTCCAAGAGAGTAATACTGATATGAGACCCTAAACTTCATCATCATCTTCATCGCAGAGCTTATAGGAACTAAAATGCTCCACCCTAAACTTCCACTCGCCTTTCACAGGATCAAATGACACAAACTCAGCTCCTTGTGCCTCAGCTTTCTTCTTAAGCATCGTCTTATACCTCTCAACCCTCTCTCCTTCAGTAAACTGTTTTCCTGTCTTCTTATCAACACATTTTATGTTCAGCAAGGTTACCTCCGCCGGTTTATTCAAACCTTGCCCAACTGCCGGTTTCTTGCTCTCATCCATGTATACAATCACTTCCCTGTTATTGAACTGAACCAGCGATTCCAAGTCTAGCCTACGCACATCTGTCTCTCCCATGAACTTTATGCTACCAAAACCGTGACGTCCAACCACAAAGTCTCTAACCCGCCTGCAATAACCCGGATC